TGAGGTTCCTGGGCTCGCACTCCGTACTAATAATAGGGCAAGGAATATATGGCTAATAACGTCATGCTGGCACAGCGCATACCGATGCCCCGAAGCGAGGTAGAGTTGATTCCGAATACAACATTGGGCAGGAACATCATTTAACCACGAAAGTCGAGCTGGTGTTGATCTTTGTCTCAATGCAGAAGAAGGTTGAAACGCTGCGATTGATAGATAGCAGTAGAGTAATAGAAAATGGAGCGACCCAGGGCTTGAGAGTTTATTGAGTTTGCAAGGAGATGACTGATTAGTGCACTCATGGAGTCGTTGTTACTTTTATCGACGTGCTTGCTGCGCTGCCAGTAGTGTGTGCCGATTTCGGAGCATTGTACTAAGGACGTAAGGCGGCGTTCAGACTTGTCGCGCTTGACGCGCGTTGATTGTCGCGCTTCAATTGTCGCTGTCGCTTGTAATTGAACACGCTACAATTACAAGCGCGCTCCAATTGTACCAGACCCCAGCTTCCCTTTATGTTCTTTCTTCCGGTATTCAACCCCTTTTTCACTGTTTCTCATTTCTACCTGATTCTTAGCTCCTCTTTTCACTTTGACATTGAATTTTAATGTAGTTTTTGATACAGGACACTGTGATGATTTTGTATACCGTTTCAAAAAAAACTCAAAACGTCGTCAAAACGTCAAAAACTACATTGAAATTCAATGTCAAAGTGAAAAAGAGGAGCTAAGAATCAGGTAGAAATGAGAAACAGTGAAAAAGGAGTTGAATACCGGAAGAAAGAACATAAAGGGAAGCTGGGGTCTGGTATTAGGGTGTCCGGAAAGTTTTGAGAAATTTCAACCAGCTCATTTAACACTTATCAACAACAATAAGAGATAGTAGTTCATAGTTATAATAAATATTGTCCATCCTATGTCCCTTACCTTTTGGGCGGGATTACCTTGCGTGGGAGCTAGAACTAAGCGAGTACTGAGAATGAGGGGGCATCATCAACATCTAAGCTGAACTTCCACTGTTGTACGGCCATTGTAGAGACCGATTCGACTACCCCTTAGTATAGGATAATTTTGAAAGCGCATTTTACCTAGCATCGGATACGGTTCCTCATTCCCGATTTGACCGGCAAAATAGCCGGAACGGTGAAGATGAAGAAAAAGGCGTTGGGAGTCGTGCGCGCTCGTACATTTTTCAGGTAATGAATGTCAAATCATATAACAAACAATAGAGAAATAACAAGCACCCAGCATTAGCATTGATCTAGAAACATTTTTCTTTTTCATAGACTTGAATATATGACTTGTATGTGTGGAGAATTCCTGCTCACACTGCTTCAAACTAAAAGATGCTGAAATTTTCTCAGAACCTTTCCGGACATACAATGCAATTGAAGCGCGCTTGTAATTGTAGCGTGTTCAATTACAAGCGACAGCGACAATTGAAGCGCGACAAGTCTGAACGGTGCCTAACTGTGGTTATCGGGAGCTTGTGGTTGGAACGGATTGGTAGCTGTGGAAAGATAGAAGCTGATTCTGATGAGGACACTATATGCGAAATGACAGAAAGCGAGTCTAAAGCATGAAAGAAGGATAACTTCTTTCTTAGAGGATTAACTTCGTAAAGGGGCAATTTAACAGAATGGTGATAGCCTGTGCTTAACAAGAGCGAGTGCTCTATGGTCTCAAGAAGAAGCGTAGAGGTACTGTGAGAGAGTGCCGTTCAACATATTGTTGGAAAGAAACTGCGAACTGAAACTCTTCTTACGAACAGTGTGCAATCAGTTGGGCCAGATGGTATTTTGTCCTTGGACAGCTTTTCAAATGTGCCCACGTCCCCACGATTGTATTGCTGGAAACAGTAAAGAAGATGAAGAAGTGTTCACAGCTGCGCGTTCGCACCTCATGCATAATATTAAACGTTAGGTCCGAAGCATTTCGGGCAGAAAGAGGCAACGGTGCGAACACGAAGAGGAAGGGGGCTCTTAGAAACATGTTTCTTGGAGATATTTGGAAAGTCACCATCTTCAACTTAATGAAATCGATCAAAACCACTTGGATAACTGAGGAGATACATTTCAAACATTAAAGGGAAAACACTCTTCCATTTCGGGGGCCGGAAGCGCAACAACTTTTATCACGACCTAATGGAACTTCTTTAAACGTGTTCTGAAAAATTTAGCTTCGCAGGGATAACTGCTGAATTAACACACCCAATTATATCACCCCATATATATAATTCGCTTCGTCTGTTTGTTTGTTTGTTGTAGTTTTGTCTGTCCGGAAATTCGGTTCGACCTGAAGAACGACTTGGAGAGGTCGGGTCAAGGTGGGGATGGGTAGAGCATGGGACAAGAAATAAAAAGCACACTTGACCTATGGGAAGCGCCCACAGTGGGCGGCTCGCCGAAAGTTTGGGGTTCCGCAGAAAAATGTTCATAATTCGCTTCCGGAGCAGCTTAAAGATGGGGAAAAAAGAGGACTAAGGTTAGTAAGGAGTCGCCAGACTAAACATTCATGCAAGGTACACCCTCAAATGGCGGGGCCGTACTCAAGGTGGGCGGTGCTTCTCGCAAAATTCAGTAACCCGGTTCGCGAGAGTGTTTGGAAGTCGCAAAAACTCAGTGTAGAATGTAAATATCTGGCGAATATAGGGCACGCTCAAAGTGTGTTGAGACCCGCCCACAGTGGCGGAGCTTGCCCTAAATCGCAGGGTATTCATTTTAAAAGTTTGTAGCTCGGTTCCAGAACACTCCAGATACCGGAAAAAGTGGACTAAGGTCAGCAGAGGGTCGCCGGTGAGGATTGCGGGGCAAAAACACTGTGGGCGGAGCCTGCTCCGAGGTGGGCGGAGCCAGACAAAAAAGGTCTGTAAAACGGTTCAGAGCCTCCAGAAGACCGGAATAACGTGGAATTCAGGTCAGCAAAGGAGTCGACCGATATGAGCAAGTGGGTCTGTACATATTGTTGGGCGGGCCAGGCCCGAGGTGGGTGGCAGCCATAAAATTCTCTGGAAACGTCTCAGAGACACTACAGGACACCCGCGAAAGAAAGGGATTAAGAGTCCACGCAGAGTCGGTCGCCGGTGAAGATTGGATTTGGGGGCACAAACATTGTGGGCGGGGCCTGCTCCGAGGTGGGCGGAGTCAGACGAAGAATCTGTAAAATAGCTCAAGAGTACTTCAGACACCGGAAAAAAAGTGGAGTACAGAACAAAAGGCGGATATCGCTTGATGTTCTAAAAATATTACGAAAAGGAAAATACGGGGTGCGAAAGCCGCGCCCGCCCGGCGCAGCGAGGACCGTAGCGAAGGAGACGCGCTGGGCGATTGGCCGGAGCCGACTGGAAATAAATAAGTTTTCTACTGCGTTTGAGTTTTTGTGTCACCATATGAACACAACTTAGCCTTAAAATACACAGCGTTCCAGGCTTAATATACACGTTATGGTGTTTCTGGCACTCCTACAGTTATGCTATGGGTCAGTGGTGCTGCTGTCGCTAGAATGGAAGATCGATCATTGAGTGACAGTGGACTGATGGTTGTTTAACTTCTTCACACTGCTGGTCTATTTTTTTAGTTGTTATATGTTACTGTTATAGTCCTTCATATACGATTGGACCGATGTGACGCCGGTGTTTGGTGCTCCACGACGCCTCGAAGGACCGCTACATATTGAATTTGATGACCGACCTGATGTTGTGCTACCCTCACTCTGTCTTAATGGTGGTACTACGCAGGTGAGACATTCGATTCTCACTTTGTTTGTGTTTTCAGCGGTTAGGCTAAAACATTGCACCTGCACTCTCTATTCCGTATAACTTCAGCCCATTGGTTCAACTTCGAAGTCCCTCATCCTTCTGGGAGTTTCGATTTGTATAGTTGGTATTTAGTTTGATTTGATTTTAATCGTATCGACAGGACAATCTCAATTCGATTCGTGCCATGCCCACTTTTGGACCTTCTGCATTTTTCTCCCATTTTTGCCTCAAGCTTCAATGCGATATGTTTCGAAAAATCCTTAATAACAAGGTCTTTCAGTTATCGTCTACTATTTACGCGACCGGATCTACGAAAACGTACAGGTGCGCAGTGCCATCACTTGGTTGTCTGAGAGAATGGACCGGATCGGAGAGTTCATTGCGGCACGTGTGGAGCAGGAACGCCGATAGTGTAGTCCTATCTGATACAGCGATATAGACGATCTGTTACCACTGAGTAACTTTTAACAGGTAGATTCGAAATCTTTCACGGATTGATGTGATAGTGTTGGCTTCAATTTCATCGTAGGTGTGAATTCTGTTAGAGTAGCAGCCTCTGTGGATGAGAAGGTATTCAGATCACATTTTTCTCGCCTAGAAATGTGGCCCTCACTGCCCAGTGTTGAGATACAAAGTCGTCACAAGGGGCTACCTGGGTGTCGCGTCAAGGTTGAGAACGAGAGGGAAACCGTGTCATGCACTAATTTTGGGAGGCAAACAGCAGGGCGTAACTGGAACGCTGCAGTTAGTCGGCCTGGAGCAATGCTTAAACATTTTGAGCTGTACGATTCGGCATCGTCCCACAGTCCACAATACGTAGTAAATGCGAGGCCAAAGTTGAAGCTGTTAGGACACCACCCATCCTTCTTTTTACGTGTGGAAGTGGATATTTCCCTTCACGCTTCCCAACGGAAAAAGGGGCGCCGGGTCGATCAACCATTTCACAAAGAATGTTTTGTTTGAAGATTTCAAGCATTCCAAACTAGCGACGCTTTCATATGGTGCCCTGCCAATGTGAACTCTGTTTCTTCATTCATGCGCCTACCCATTGCCGATCGTTTCCCAATTTTCCGCTCTCTGGGTGCATCTGGAACCAAGTTACGAATTTTTGATATACTTAGCTCCTGGCTAAGGGCAGGCTCCGCCCACAGGCTTAGCTTGGTTTATGTGTATTCGTGTTAGCCCGTGCTCTACCCATCCCACCAATGACTGGGCCCCACAAACTGGCTGTTCAGATGGTGCCGTATTCCCAGGCAAACACAGGCAAACGAAGCCGCTTTTATGTCGAAGGGTTCCGAGCTTGCCTATCAACTAGAATCACTCCCTTGTACACGTTGACCCAGCCCACTGTTGCTAAGCTTTAAACACTTTCGCATCTCGAAGTTATCTGGTCAGGACTCCCGACATTTATAACTTGAGTTTTATTGCTTGGCTTCTGTGTGGCTTCACTTGGATATACAGGGGGAGGGGCAAAAAACACTTTTCTTCCTTTCAAGGCGATATAAGTTACACTTTATTGGAATTTGATTGGACATTTCCACCATCATATTCAACAACACATTGTACACTATCACGATACTCCGCCACAGCCTTCTGGACGAACGCCATCGAGAGATTCTGCCACGCGACCGTGATTCGGTGCCTGAGTTCAGCGAGATCGTTGATTTCTCCGCCACTGTAGACCACCCTGTTGAGCTCCGCCCGAACCCGGTAATCGAGGGGGTTTAGGCAAGAGCACACTTGGATATTCCGATCTTCAGGTTCTCAGCGCCTTCCATTCCAAGTAGGCGAGAGTTTTTCCAACGCCCTTCGATTCCATGTGGTGGCACCCAATCCTGTAGCAGTACAAAGTTTCCAAGAAGGTACGGGCGACGACATGAAGGGAGGATATTCTCCTCGAGTTGCTCGATGTAACCGCCAGCGCTCACCTTCAGTCCGGGGTCCACGAAGAAAATATCGGTCTCCCATTCCAGGAACTTCCGGTCCATACCATCAACCCGCGCCTTGGCGACTGCGGTGAAGATGATATCCTGGACCGTAGCGACGTTGTCGGAGCTGCTCGATGTTGGAGGTCTTCCAGATCGAGAGTGCTGGTCTCCAGGTAGCTGTCCATGGGTGACTCCATACAAGAAGTTTCGCAGCTGTTTGGAGGTGACATGAATTCCAAAGGTCTTCTCCAGTCAGGCTGCGACTGGAGATGACTCATATTTTGGTGTACATGAAGGTGATGGGCGAGAGCCTGCTCCTGCTTATCGAGGAACATCTTGGGTATCTTCCGCCCTGGTACTCGTATCCACGTCTTCTGTCTGGGCTGCGAAAACTTTACTGATATGTGACTCGGCCGAATTGTTTTTTTTGCCCCGCCCCTGTATACACCAACCACCGAAGCGTCCTACTACTTGATTCATGCACTGCCCTTGATTTGTTGATGACAGATAATTCTGATACCATT